CTCCACCACTTCCCTGGGCAGCCTGTTCAAACGCTTGACCACTCTTTCAGTAAAGAAATTTTTCCTAATATCCAATCTAAACCTCCCTTGGTGCAACTTGAGGCCGTTTCCTCTCGTCCTATTGGTTGCTACTTGGGAAAAGAGACCAAGACCCCCACCTCGCTACAACCTCCTTTCAGGTAGTTGTAGAGCGCGATGAGGTCTCCCCTCAGCCTCCTCTTCTCGAGGCTAAACAGTCCCAGCTCCCTCAGCCGCTCCTCATAAGACTTGTGCTCCAGACCCTTCACCAGCTTCGTTGCCCTTCTCTGGACATGCTCCAGCACCTCAATGTCCTTCTTGTAGTGAGGGGCCCAAAACCGAACACAGTATCCGAGGTGTGGCCTCACCAGTGTGTATTTATCTTTAAAAAATACCATTGCCACTCTCTGCTTTACCAAAACCTTAAATTAACTTTCATTGAATGAAAATCTTAGCTTAGAACCATGAGATACTTGCAGGTTTTGAAGTGTTGTTGATAAATGCAGTGTTAATGATCTGACAGATACAAGCTTATGGGTAAGCTTTTTCTCTGTACAGAACCATCTCTTGAATTTCTTTTGGTAATGGTAATGGGTATTTCATGTTTGTGGGAGGTTAAAATTGGCAGGCTAGGATCCCTCGCTTTCTTTCTGTTTGTGATTGTGGTGCTGGTAGCCTATGAACTTCCTTGTGCAGGGCTGCTAGTAACTTCCAGTCTGATAGATGAGTATTTCTAGAAATGAGATGTAATTGAATCTCAGCACTTACAAATGCCTTGTATGCTTTTTGAAAAGAGGCTGCCAGCTGCGTCGTGTTGAATTAATTGTACTTATTTCAGTGATGTGTGTGTCTGTCCAGTGAGAACAGAAGATAACATTTTAATTTGAGGGATGTCTGTGGGTTGATTTTTAACTCACTGGAAGCAGGATAGTTAAAGCACTAGAACTCTACCTCTATTCTTACTAGGTTTTCAGTCCAGAATTGAAATGAGTATATTCATAACATGTATATACCTCTTACTATAATGCTGTGCAGATTTTCCAGCTGAAATACCTCGGTCCTTAACTTGCAACCTGTGTTCAAGTACCCCATGAGGAACTCTGCATTAAATAGGTTTGAGATTGTGATGTTTCTGGTACCTTTTCTAGGACAAGCACAGTTTCTGCTGTTCCGTGAAGTGGTAAAGAAGTTCTTTCAGCTCAGCCGTACATGTGGATATTGCAGATCTCAGAAGGCTTTTGGGGATTATGCCAAAAAAGTCCAACGGTATTGTTTGTTCAGTGACAGAACTGAGCGTCAACTGCTAAATTGTTATGTATATCAGGGCAAAAATGAGATGAAGCCTTTTAACTTTCTGGGCTAACATCTCCCAAATGTATTTCTTAGAAGATTGATAAAGGAGATGGTGGAGCTTTGGCGGGATGTGGACACAGCTGTGTGTGATCAAAGCAGGGAAAGCTGCACAACTGTGCGCCTGAACCATTCGCATGCTGGGCCAACTTGTACTCATGGGGACTCGGGCTCCTTTGTACCCCACGTTTCTTCCCCTTCTGCCTCCTCAGCAGATATGCACTTAGACCAAATACTTGAGTAGTGTTCTGTGTCAAAAAATAGTACATTGACACAATCAAATGATGGCTGTATGTTGTGAGATTCAGCTGTCTCCTTTCATAGGATAAACCATACAGTTTGCTTCTAAAAGGCTTGTCTTCCTCTATCAAAAGTTCATATGCAGTGAAGGTATGAATGCAAATACTGTGCTTCTGTGAACAATCTAGACAACATACAGTTATTTTGGTTTTGTTGTAGCTTCTTCAACAAAATAGACTAATTCTTAAGGCTAAATTTGAACTGAGATGTGAAACATCCATGCAGGGTGGCTGGAAGTAGAAATGTGGAGCTATGCAGCATTCCCTTTGAATGAGTTCATATTGGGTACTTCCCTGAAAAACCCGTTTCTCCCCTTTGTGTGCATATTAAGATATCTATAATGCAATAATAAATTCTAATTTTGCCATACTCTGTATGCATACAAACATTGTTTATATACAGCTTAGCAGTACATTACAGTGTTTTCTTAAAGTTCTGTACAATTGGATTTTTTTTAATCTGCGCTGTTTCATGCCAGAACAAATGACTATGGATTATTCCATTATATACAGTGGAAAATGTGTGTCAGAAGTGTCGGTTTGGAGGTTTTGGTAAAAATGCAGGTTTTGCAGGTGAAAAGTAATACAACATACTTCATAATTGTTTTGAGGATGTAAAGCTCAGCATTTTAACCAGGTCTTTATTCAGATTAGATTTAGTATTTTTAGAGTAGTTTTAAAAACATTTGTAAACATACACAAACATTTGCAATGCCAAACATGCCCGCTGATCCTAGATTATTTATTGCCTCTTATCGAAGTTACCTAAGCTTGTTCTTGACCTGCAGGCTGCTAATAGAATCATAATGCACTTCTAAACCATGCTACTCTTAAATGGACATAACAAATTCTTCCCTGAATTATATCTGGATATATTTAACCTTCAGGCTTGCTTTATTCTACAGTGAATGTTATCTGACAGTATTAAGTGTTTTGAGGAGGGTGAAAAAAAGAGAGGCAGGTTTCTGCATCATATAGTCTCTTACTGCATCTGTTATGTGAAGAGTGCCATTTTGAATAAATTTCGTATGGTTAGTTGATACTGTGACATTTTTTCCCTTACTCCCTTTGCGCATAGTATTATATTTTTCTTTAATAATGATGAGTTACAGCAGCTGTCTTGCAATCCTTGTATTATGGAAGTTACATGGGACATAGCATATTTGAACACTCAGTTATGCCTGACCAGATTATGCAAAAATGGGAAAAAATGAATTCTATCAAAGCAGTTAAAGATCATAGAATAGAATAGAATAGAGTATTTCAGTTGGAAGGGACCTACAATGATCATCTAGTCCAACTGCCTGACCACTTCTGGGCTGACCAAAAGGGATCATGCTAAAGAGAAAGCAGATCTTTATTATGCAGAAACCATTGCAGGAAAACCACAATTAATATCTAAATTTTGGTACGTTCAGCTGCTGAAAAACCACCAGATATATTGTAAGCATGTTAAAAAGCTGAACACCCCCCCTTTCCCCCTAAAATCTGAACAGTTTTGACTTTGTCATTTTGGCCATATTTGCTTTCCAGTGCAAAAAATAGCAAAAGATTTCCCCATATTCAGCAACTTTGCAGCTACTAATAGGTCTTCTCTACCCTCTTAAATATTTTTCAATGTCTCCACTTAAAAAATTTATTAAATGTAGGAAGGAAAGGGAAATTAACTGCACTAGAAGAATATAGTATTTGCAATATTATCACAAAAATCCCAAAACGAAGCCTTGGTGCTTCATTTCTGTCTGGCACTTTTGTAGGTACTCTGTCTCCTTAACATGTGGTCCTTGAAATCATGCATGAGTCTGTTGTTCAGGAATACGTTTGCAGTGGCCATAATCTTCAAAAATGACCTGTTACTGTGAATACCCATCTTATAAGACTAAACCATTTGTTTCCACAAACATCCTGAGCTCCAAATGTAGTCAGCATAAATTACAGGTAATTCTCACCTATACAAACCAGACTTCTAGGTTTCAGCCTGACCTTCAGCAATGCCAATCCAAATCTGAACTTTAGGAGCTTATATTTGAAATAGCAGAATGGAAAATCTTGGAGCTTTCTGTACTATTAACGTATAAAGAATTCTGTCCCTTGATTATTGTAGGCTGAAAGCAGTTTGTGCCTTTGTTCTTAATATTTTTTTTCAAATGTTCAGACCGTAACTAAGTCAAACGCTGTATGTTTCCTCTTCTTTGAAATGTTTCTTTTTCTAAGGAAATGTGTGTTTTAAAATAAGCTCTAAGTACATTGTGTTTGAGCACAAGTACTTAAGATTCTTTGAAGAGGTTTTTTTAAGAGCACACGTTCCTTATATCTTTGCCTGATTGCAAAGCTGTGTAGTGGTGAATCACTTTGCTAGATGAAGTTCAAAATCATGACCTCTATAAAATGAGAAGTATACGAGCTACCGTCTGGAAAGAAAAAATAATGTTAAAATGCTGGTTACTCCAACTGGTCCTGTAATACCTCTTTGCTTGTTTTACAGAAGCAAACACTGTGACACTCTATCCATCGACATAAGGATATCTTTCAGTTTCATTGCAGCTGGAGTCAGTGACTTCATACTGAAAAAGGTTGGTTTTGAGACTACAGACCATGACAGTTTTTAACAGTGAAGGAACATACATGTTTGTGTAAATACATAACCATGTATATTTGTAAGTATACAGACATGTTTATATCTATGTATGTACAGGTTTAACCTGCAGCTGACGTGATATGGAAAGCATGTAAGGGATTTTATAAGCTTTGTGGAAAAGGGAGTATTTCCTGAAAAATATACTAACAGTTATATCTGCTGGAAAACAAGAATAGTGTGCTTTTTTAATCAAAAAGCTCTCTTATTGGACCAACAAAATAAAGTTTTGTGATAACTGGTTTTGGAGTTGTTGATGCCTTGAATCTTAGAACTGGGCAGCTTTCCCCATAAACTTAGAGTCAAACTTCCCCTTTTAAGCCTGTTAATTTTACTAAATTACTTATGTTATGAATTAACTGCATCACAGTATTTTAATTAAGTGTGTTCATAGTCATTTTAAAAATAGTTGACTGGGATAGGTCATTTAATTATATTTTATCTGTAAGAAAGCATTAGCTCTGCTGCAGCTGATAGCTAGCAAGGCCATCTGCAATGCCTTTCAGTTCACTCACACTGAATTGTTCAGATAAAGATTGTCAAGTGCTGTCTAAATAAGGAAGGAGCCTTGGTAGAGTTAAGTGCAGGGGAGCACACAAACGAAGCATTGATTCCAGGCATGCTGTAGGGTCTGAGCTGTTTCCTGCAGCGCTGGACCTTGTTAGAGTTTTCATTGTTGTTTTCTGCAAAGTATTAAAATGCGAGTCTCTGTCATTCAGGATTTCAGGGAAGATGAAAATGAGGATGGAGAGGAAGAAGAAAAGGTGAGTTAAACCCCAGTAGCTTTGAAAAGTACTTATTTCCTTCTACTGTGTTACCCTTTTAGAACCTGGAATAATTAAATAAATAAACCTGGAATGATTACCTTTCTCTTATAGGTCTTCCTCAAGCCTGTTATTGAGGACAGAAATATGGAACTGGCCCGAAAATGCAGTGAAATAATAAGTGATGTAAGTGACGGTGACTGTTTGCATCCTTATATTTGCATTTCTCTTTCCAGGGGCTTTATATTTACGATACATATTTTTTCAGATATGTACAAGTGCAACATGTGCCCATCCAAGGCTCAAATATAAAAGCACACAAAATAATAGAAAAGCACAGCCTACTCTGGTACCTTAAATCATCATCAGCAGCAGGAGATGAGCTTTTCAGAGCACTTGGACGGCAGGAAGCACAGGCCCTAGGAAAGACAATGTTCCAAAAAGTGGGTCTCAGCAGAGGGTGTCTCCCATGAGAACACCTTGGCTGATTTCATCAGGAAAATGCAGTATTTTTTCTACTTATAGCCTGATCCTGTGAAGTTTGATTGGTTAAACAGAACTGGGTGCCAGTATACATAGCTGTAAGGAGGGAGGATAAAAATAAAACTGACAAATTTTGAGTGTTATCTATTGCTCTGTGGTGATAGAGGCTCAAAACTGCTTAGCGTATTATTATTGACTTACATTTATAGGAAGAATCCACTGAAATACAAGAATATCTTTAAAAGTTATTTAGGTAGCAAATTCTTGACTTAGTTACTTAGATTTTTAAAGCTGTCAATCAGATATAGACATTATATGAACATCATAGGTTGGATCCAAGACATTTTAAATTGGAGTAGATCCAATTGCTTCAATGTAAAGGTATCAGATTTACCTTGGTGGAAGTTTATTTCTGTGTCCCTCTGGGAAAGTGTGTCTGAAGAGTAACTTTGTCCCTTCATGTGAATGGGAGTTAAGAGTGATATTTCTCCTGTGAGGATGGTGCCTGGCAGCAGAGGATATGTTACTGAGGAGAGAGTGACTTGCTTTAACAAGTGTTCTTCTAAAAAAACCAAAAAATGATGTCTGGCTTTTGTTGTAATCTGATATATAGATTTGGGATGTTATTGTTCAAGGTGAATGAGTTTGTTGATTTTATGAGAATAGAACATACAGATTCTACAATTAAGGTATAAATTATTAGGGGTTACGTATCAAAAAAGAATAAGTAACTCAGAAAAACAGTGTCTGGGATGTGTAGGTGTTACAATGCTGGCTTGAAAGTGTGACTTGACAAGGTCAAAGTTTCCTCTTTGTCCATACACCATCTGGTAATACTTTAATTTTCACAGAAAGAGTGCTGAAAATTGGATAGATCCTTAAGAGAAGCTACCAAGATGGCTCCCTTGTAATCTTGAGCTACTTTAGGAAGTAGTAGAGATTATTAATATTTTTACTGATCGTTATCTACGTGCTTTCTTTGGGAAAAGAATGGCATATGGTACAATAAATGCCTGTCAACTCATGTAAAGACCAAAATGAAAATGGACCTAGAGCATTTATCTGACTCAAAATACATTTATTGCTTCCGTGCAACTTGTTTCTAAACATGGTTGCTGTTCTTAAAGGCAAAAACTCCTTGAAAAATGCTGAAGAAATACTTTCTTTAATTGAAAAGGAGTTATTACTGTGCTGTATACCCATTAGGAGTGGTGTGGGCTGTGGTTGTTAACTGGTACATGGAGTGGCTGTAATTTCTCTGATTTTCTGCAGGAGCTTGGGAGCTAAGTTGAATAACTATGTCAAGCCAGGTTCCTGAAGCCTATAACGGTTCAGAGATTTGGGCTTCTGCTGAAAGCTTGTGATGCATTTAGCCTGCAGGTGTGTTAGATTTTCCTGGAGATATGTAAAGCGTAACGGCAAAGTGTCAATGCTTTCAAAGCAGTAGTAATATGTAATGGTCTAGACCAATTTAATTTCAAAGAAGAGACTCTGTTCAAAAATGGCATCCAGTTTTGGAGCCTTATTCAGTCTCTGCTGAAATCAGTACATGTTTCTTCATTGGCTTGAATGGAACACACATATGTATAGGGGGTGAATTTTGTTTCCCAGAATTCTTCCTGTAATTGGAATTTCTTATGACCAGTGTGCTGTGGGGTAAGATCCTCACCCCACACACTTCATTGTGGAGGCCAATAAACTGCAAGAAGTTTGCATTCTTGCCTTTGATTTTTGACTCATTGACATTCAGAACTTTTTATATATTCTTTATCCTTTTTAGCATGAATCTTTGCACAAACTGCTGTTTGTGTGGATGTATTATTGGTGTACATCTGTACATTTTATGTGTACAATGGTTTTACAGGGCGTGCAGTTTGGCCCTAAGATGACCTTGGGACAGCAGCCTGTGTCCTTGCTGACCACGAGACTGGGTGATTGTCCTTTTCTGCTGGTGGAGCTGTCAGCACAGTTCCTCCATCAGAATGCAGCGTCAGGAGTGCTCATGACTGAGATACTGGGGTTGCATTACACTTGCCCTGCATTCTTTGCAGGCTGACTTTAATTTGGCAATATGGTTTTAAAAAAGTATTGCGATGGCAGTCCTTAGTGCATGTGTAACTGCCAGCCTTGAACTGTATGTAGGGGAAGTTGTGAAGTGTTTATGTGCTCCGGTTCTCGAGAAAATCCCTGTTTTCATTTGAGGTTGGCAGATGTTTGTTCTGTGGCTGTGATACTCCCTGGATTGTTTCTCCCTAAAGCCATTTCATTTACTCTCCCTCCGTTATGCAATTTTATTCCACAGATGTTTTCAAAACTGTCATGTGTGTTTGATTTATATGAACTACCTTCCTTTCCAGGCCTTTTCTCTTCCATATTGAAATTGAGCCTGTCCATTTGCTTGTATTACTTATATTTTGGTGTATTTTCATCTTTTCTGTGTTTTGATTGTGTGGTGTGATGTTGTGAATACTGTTATAAGCAGAGAGGGGAATTATTGTATGAATAAAATGATCATTGACCAAACTATCATAATGCTTTTTGGTATAGAGGTAGACACTCTGCTTCTGAAGATTCTGCTGAATTTTGGTAACATATGGTACCAGTGCTTCTTTTCCCCTATAGCAAAAAGGCGTACTACTTGCCGTTTAACTGTCCTTGTACAGAGTCCAACTTTGCTTTAGCATGTCTCTTTGTTATAAAGCAAGGGCCAAAGAGACCTAGAGTCAAGTGCAGAAACAGAGTGCCTTTCCACTCATACTAATAGGGTTGTGACCACCTAATTCAGGGTGAAGCTGTTCCTCTGGACTCACCATTACTAGTCACAGCCTCTAACTCGGGAGGACTTTGAGGTCCAAATTGCTGGAGACTAGTAAAATACTGTGGGGCAATAATAACCTATGCTTGCCCTGTTCTCATGCTTTTCTCTAGGTTTCTGTGGCCACAGAGAGAGGATTTTGTATTAGATGGATCTGTGGTCTGACACAGCTCTTAGTCTTATGAGAGATTATAAATTAAGAAATGTAGGATTGGAAAGGGAATCCGTAGTGGAAAAAAGTTCCCTTTTGGTCTAGCGTAAGAGGTAGATAGGAAGGTTCAGACCTTTTTGTGGCTTTTCTAAGCTTAAATGAGTCTTTGAGAGATGACAGTTCTATAATGGATCTTGGCATGATGACTGTCAACATGGTTGTATCATCGATGTTAAGATATTAAGAACAGGTTTCTCGAGTACATTCATGTTAAAGTTAGATCAATATGTGCCCCTGAATACAAAGGAAAGGTGGCTGCTTGGATTAAGCTGTTACCATCGGAGCCTGCTTTTCCCCTGTGAAAAAGGCTGATGGAACAGGCCATGGGTGAGATGAATTTTCTTGGCGAGCCATGAAGCTTCAGCCTAAAGGTTGGATGCCCTTGTTCTATAAAGTTGATCTTGCCATATAACATGCATTATGAAAAAAATGCAATTTGAAGCTTACTGTTTTGGTGGTTGTCTAGGAATTTTAATCCACTTCTACTGGATAGCTGTGCTGCTGTAGTAGTTTTAGGATGAGTCAGGGAGGAGAAAGGAATCAGGAGAGAGCTATTAAAAATTGGGCCTTTAGTGAGCTATTGGACTTTAAAAGTGTATCAAAAGAGCAGTGGTGGCTCCAGACCATCATTTGCAAATTTTTCTTACTATTTGTTTTTTTCACAAGGCTTACCAAATCTACTGAACCTAAACAGTGTATTTTGTGGTGAAGGGTAAGTCACTCACAGGCAAAATTTCCAATTCAGTATTTTAGATATTTGAATTTGTAACTCCAAACTTTGAAGAGGAATACCAGCTTCTCTGCCTAGTCCTTCCAGCCATTGGTTATGTTCAGTCATAGCCAACCTCTTAAGCCTCTTGCTTATGTCATTTACAATAAATATGCTTTTTTAGTGCAGATGTCATGACTTCATTATACTTGTCCCATTTCATCTTCCATCTTTCTGATTCTAAGCAGTGCAGACACTTCTGTAGCAGAATGGAGTGTGTTGGATCAGAGTTTGACCACACATTTCATTGTATGTCCTCTCTAAATTGCTCATTTGATTCTGTGTGCATTTTGTGGCCTCTATGGGTTACTATAATAAATGTGAATAATAAAGGATTAAGGAGTGGCATTAGTCCTTTACTGCTTTTGGTTATTTTGAAAGCATGACTTCTACAGCAGAATAGCTTTGATTGTTTCTTCTAGTCATACCGTGTCATTCCCCCCAATTAAGGGATACCTTAGGAAGCTTTAATGTTTGATTTTTGAATGTAATTATTGCTCTATAATTAAAATGGATGTAATTACAGTCAGCTCTCAGATATCTGTGGGTGATTTATCTAAGTTGTGAGCAGCAAGATGCTCCATCTCCTCGACCAGAGTCTCAGCTTTACAGGAGATTCTACTGGGAACACCATCAAACCTAACCAGTAGACAGTGCGCTCTGTCGATTTCCCATATCCCTTCTCAGCTGTATCACTGTGAATGAATGTAATTCTACGAACCCTTTTTTTAAGCTGTTCATGTGCACATACATACACACACTTGCAAGTACATGCATGCATGTGTGCAGGTTGAACAGTATGCCTGCTCATGTTTATCATAAAACTGCCCTTTTTGTGTATTGCTCTCTGGTTACCTAGGAATATGGTGTCACACACAGGTTACATGAACCATTGGATTTGTGGGTCCCTGAGTAAAATGATGACACACAGTAGTTTTACACCCGTTGTTCACCAAACAGTTTTTATTTAGAATACACTGTAATCCACAAAGGCAGACAATATGATTGGGCAATGAGATGTAGATTCCTTCAGCAGTCCAAACGTGGATGACTCAATAGTAACCAAAATTATTTCCTGTGTAAGGATTATATAGTCATCAGTTTGAGATGAATTTGGCATTATCTAATCCATTTTGTGGTGGACAAAAAATTTGCATTAGAAAGTACAGGAGCTGATTCTGTGTAAGCTGCCATCCTTCTCATGAATTTTCCAAGTCCCTGTAGAGGAGCATAGACTAGAACTTGTGATATCCATTAAGGATTCAGAGAAGGAGGAAATTAAGACTGCATATTTCTGTAATGCTCAGATGCAGATCATATTGCTTCTGTCAGTGCTTGTCAGCAAGTCTAGAGTGCATAAATGCAAGCTGCTGTTGAGCAGAATGTGAAAATGAGGTTAGAGAAATCGTAGCAGATAATAACCATGAAAGCTTAATACTAAATAATTCAATTTGCATTGAAAAAAAATTCTATGTACAAAGAAAAAAATGTCACTAAAAACATTTAAGGCTATCCATGTAAAGTGTCTATCTTTAAAACTTATTTAGTCCATCTCATCATAATTCACCATCTTTCTTCATGCAGTTCTTACATAATAAAGGTCCATACACATCCACCATGCCCGTAGATCTTATTCTTCTTGCAGTCTCACTAATACAAACAGTAACTCTGACTTCATCAACAGTCATGTGATTATTCCACCTGCCCGTATTGTTTGCCCCATGGTAAGAAAAAGGTTGGTTGGTTAAGACTTGTGTTTGGTTGTGGTGTCGTCCGTCCCCCCCCCCCCCAAATATGTCATGTGTTTTGCTACAGAAATGGTTTCCTTTGTGCATACAGATGATTTAAAAAATGGCTGAATTTAAAATCTGTTTGCTCTTAAAGAAATTCTGTTATTACTTGCATGTCGTGACTGTTGGGGTGCTTTGTAGGCAATGATTTGGCAGTGGCTTTCTGAATTTATTCATGTAAATCTTGGATTCATAAAGGGGCATTGCTAGGTCTGTGTTAGAAGTTAGTTTAGCAATTTTATCTTTAAAATCAAGGAGGTCAATTACTCGATTCTCCTTTCTTTAGAGATACTAGAACATCTACAACAGTGGTGAAAATGTGCTGTAGATGTAGCGAAAAATCATATCTTTCTCATCTTCATTATTAAAGAGTTCTGTGACTTTTACATAGCGCTGGTACTGTGTGTGAGAACTGGGTGTTTCCCTTTATGGCTTAATTTGATCCAGCCTGACGTATTTGCAAGCCACCCAGCATAGTATCCATAAATAAAATAAAATAATAATAGTAATAATAATAAATAAATAAAATTAGCCATTGTTTATTTTTCTGTGTTTTTTTTTTTTTAAGAAAATTAAACTTCTTTTTTCTCCTCTCTGTAGATACACTATAAAGAAGAGTTTAAGAAATCTAAAGGCAAGTGTATATTTGTACCTGACACCCCACAGCTAAAACATGTGAAAAGTCTTGGTTCTTTTATTTCTGAGGTAAGACCTAAAAAGATTTAAGAATTGTCTTTGCTTCTTATCCTTCCTAAAAACTCTTTCAATTGAATATGGTGGTTTTAGCAGGGGAAGGACGGCTTATTTCAAATAACAATTCTGTTAAAGCTGAAGTGACTTAAAGTGCTGTAATTAGTGTATACTGTATATTTGAGTAATAATAATTTGGAATTATGCAACACTTTTATTTTGGGATGCTGAGATATTTTATTAATGGCTCTGAGGCGGTCCTAGCTATCCCATTTTATGGATGGATAAACTGAGGAATAGGAAAAGGATTTCTTATTACTTATTCTGCAGTGATGAGGTTTGCAAATTATACCTGTGCATAGTTTCCCTGCTGTGGAGAATTCACAGCCTGATACCAAACAGAAGGGGACAAGGAAACTGTTACCATATTATCACCCCTGTCTTCCTTCAGCAAGGGGACTGGGGCAGACATCAGGTCAATGCCATCTGCAGGTCGCCTGAGCACTTTCATGCATATATATGCATACCCATGTCAGAGTTTTTAGGTCTTCGCGTACACACAGTCACACACACACACAACTGTAGTGGCAAAAAAAGAATGGCAGCTTCCAAGATGCCAGAGCAGAGTTTACTGCCAGCTCTTTGTGTCCCAGGTACAAAGTGTCATAGAATTGCATCTCTGATTGTTTTCCACAGGTGAGAACAGCAGCAGAAGTTTTACCTGACAGAGAGCTGCTTTTGTAAGGAACTGCTGGTTCTGAGTGATTTTTCTGTCACTGTGACCCTTGGAAGACTTAAATTTTTGGTGCCTCATTTTTTGTGCTACCTTTATGATTATGATAAAGAACATCCCAATATCCCTGTCTGGAGTTATGTAATTTATATAATTCTATATTCTGTTTCTGATACACATCAGTTTGCTGTGTGGCTACATTCAATATAAATGAATCTCATTAATATTTTTGTTATATTTATCTTCATATTTTCTGAGAAAGAATGGCGTGTCCCAAGGGGCATAAATGTGATGAAATTATACTTTCTAAGAGAGAGACTACTGTAGTCTACAAAAGCACAATATAGAGAGAGTATTTATTGAATCCATCTGTCTGATTCCAAAGAAAAGCTGCTAATTATTAGTCAAAGATTTAGAGATATAAAGATATTTCAAAATTTTAAAACCTGTATGTTTTATGTTATCATACTGTTGAGCATTCTGTCTGCTTATTGCAGCATTACCTGAAGCCAGTGATGTGATGGATGGTTTATCTTGTAAATTACTGACCTCTAGTGTCCCATAACCCGTCTTTGCAAAACTTGAACACTGAAATTCTTAACAGCATGTCTACTGCAGTGAAAGAGAGCCCTCTGTTTTGGGAAACAGCAACAAATGTTACAACAAATTATTGATATATATAATACATATGCGGAACTAGTCTCTAATGAACAGCTGTATATTGCACAGTAAATTAATGACATTAGGCAGTATCGTTTAAGATATCTTTGATATTTATGATTACTTTCACAGCAATACTTGGTTTTATTAATTTATATAATGGTTTTATGAATTTGAAAAACTTAGATCTGAAGCAAAAGCCTCCCAGATTTTGAACTCTTATTCTGGCCTGCCTCATAAAACCCTTTTGTGAGGAATTGCTAGTACTGAACACTGGAGAAAGTACAGGATAAATAAAAAGTAATTTAAAAATGAGTCTGTAATATGAAAAAAGTAGAAATGATGGCAGACATGCTAAGTTCAATGTCCTTTCCAGTTACATTTAATTGCTACTGCTTATTAATCAGTAAAATATTTTTTTGTTGGCCTCTCATTGCTCCCGTTGTGCAAAACTTGGGAAAATGGAAAGAAAAAAGATAAATTTGGTTTTTGGAAATGATTTAAAAAAGGATAGAAAAATAACTGCCTTGCTTACCTTATTTTATACTTTCCCCCAAATTACTGAATTTAATTAGGAGATACTTTGCATTGCTTTGTGAAGCAGACACATCCACCTAAAGTATTTTAAGGCTATTATTTAAAGATCTGTTTTTGTTTGGAAGTTTATGACATCATTAGATTTTTCTGGTTCTAATGGTCTATCCTAGCCGAAACCAGCCATTTTATTTAATAGAAAAAATAGTAGTATGATTACTGTATCTTAATTTTTGCATTATATGCCACCTTTTTCTCCGCTCTAGGTGAAGTATAAAGGAGCTGCTAAGAAAGACCTTTCCAACTCTCTTTATCAGCAGATGCCAGCCACAATTGACAGTGTATTTGCAAAAGAATTAACGCAACTTCAGAGCAAGGTACAATTTTAGAGTCACAAAAATGATTTTTAGATGAATTGTGTGACAGAATACGACCAATTTGAACAATGTATTTGAACGGATACTTGATTGCCTGCTTGATTTATTTGGGTGAGTTTATCATCCAGAGTTTATCACCATAACTTCTTAACTTCAAGAACTACTCACTTTTAAAATGTTGACAATCTTACTTGCTACGTTTATTAAATATAAATTTAAAAACTGCTAGTGCATTCATCAATCCAATGAAATCCATTAGAAATCCATGAATGCAATAAGGAATTACTGAATTCAGTGACATTACACTGTATTTATAGAATAGACGAATCTTATATTTTCAATTTGGATGTTGTATTAGCTCTATAAAATGCTGAAGGGAAAAAAACCCCCAAACTTCAATGACTTTTAAAGGCACTTACTGGTAGCAGTAAACATATTCCTGATGGTCTACATACTGCCACTCATGACACATTTTATAGAATTAAAAATATGAAATCAAGTGTATTGAACATAGTGTAAAACATGCAAACAACCAGTAAAATAGTAAATTACAGTTGCCTCCAGGGGCTTAAAAATATGATACCCTTAATGTAGGCAGGTGACCCTTCATTTCCATTGATCTCAGTGGAATTGTGAGCGTTAAGTATGTGTAATATGAATGAAGTTACAGATTTTCATTGTTACTCATGAGACTTACAGCTGATAGACGGTCATGGCTTTCTGTCCACCAAGGATTTCCACATTTTTCTTGTTTTGCCTTTTTCCTCTCTTGAAGATACTAACTACGTGTAGTTTAATACAGCCAGTCTGTGAAGTGAACACACTCCTAAATCCATATTATTGATTGTGTCTCAATATGCATTCTTCTAATGCAGTGATTTTTTTTTTTTTTCAAACAAAGGAAAATATTCATAACAAAAGAAAGCACTGAAATCTCAGGACAGCTTGTGGAGAAATGTTTTGATGTAAACCAATGTGTTAATCAAGGCTATATTAACCAAATATAATAACATAAAGTATATTTTAGTTTTCATAGTTTGAAATGGAACATATATACACTCAAGTTAAAGCAGCACAGTAGCTGAAATGATATTTATGTGACATTTCATTGCAAAGTGAGTGATTAGAAGAATTACAGTAGAAATAAATTGGGAATTATAATTGTGTAACATTTTAAAACCGTTAGCTTGATTTATAAAACATTAGTTAGTTTGCCACAGATTTACTCCTGGATTCATTCCAAATGAGTACATTCTACATTAGTTTACGCAAATGAGGTTAATTAACATCGGTGATGTGGCAGAAAAGATAAATAACTGAGACTAAAAATGAAACCATTTGATTAATAAAAAAAACCCTTTTAAGGAAAAGACTGTCATTGTCATTTGATATTTTTTGAAGGTTTTCTTCAATCATCCAACAGTCGTAGAGAAACAAATACACATGTAGCAGTATGCGGCAGAGACTTTTCCTGTGAAATTCATACCATCCCCTTAGGAATAGATGCATTATAAATCATAATCTACCATAAAGCTTAAAGATACGCTGACACATTTTCCAACTTGTGGTTACTGTTGCAGTGGACCTGAATTTAATGCTGCTTTGAGAGAGATCCTAGGGGATTTTCTAGTGGAAAATCTTCTCTACAGTATTCAAATCTAATCCATATTGTGCCTATCACTGCGATACCTAAGTAGCTAATACAAGGATTTCAGATTTCAACTGGGTCAGGATTTCTGCTGCATCTATCTAGCTGGGATTGTGAATGTACAGGTCATCACTTCAGCAAAGGGTATGCCATAGGAAGGAGAGAGAACAGCACTGTCGGGCCATTGTGCCAACTCCCCTGCAAAAAGGCTGTTGCAAGCGCAGAACTGCAGTCTGTTTCTCAATTATAGTAAGTTGATTTTAAATAGGTGCTGATTTCCTGAGCGGTGGAAAATAGGAGTATGTTTCCTCCTCCCCATCCACATTAGAACAAATTTACACCTTTGACTCCCTTTTCATGCTTCTTGGATGCAAGGCCGGGCTTGAATGCTTTTGTAGCCAGATGACGCAGGTGCTTTCTCACTCTGTGATGCCATGTTCTTGGCAGGATCCGTAGCCTCATCTGCCAAGCAGGTGTGTTGGGGCTAGGGGATCACGGTGTGGAAGAAAGAGAGCCACTGACTCTCCCTGCTACTGCCTGCTGGCACAGGACTGCTGAGGCTGGTATGCCTCTGCCGGGTGATCTCCTTACACACGTTTGTCCTTGGCAAATGGTCCCTCCCATGATTTGATGTTTGATCCTGAAATGGTGCTTCTGCACTGCTGCCACCCAGCAGGTCTGTTTTCAGCCTACCTAGACCTAGCCCAATTTATTAATTTTGTACACTGTTTCATATTACATTCATGATTTAGGAACTTGGAGGCAACTAGGGACATTTCCTTTTTCTCAGAAGAAATTATTCCCCACCTACGGCTTCCCTTCACTGTCCTCTCCAGAGCAAACAGGCTGCCATAGCACCATCTATCACTTTTGCATGCTCTAACTGATTCGGCAATTGTCATTGACTTCCGCAGAGCCAGGACTTTGTTCTGCAGGGTTCCAGCCATACAATGTCAGCACTGACAGGATCTTGCCATGATGGAGAGTTCAACACCCTGACACCCAACCCTGTGGTTCTCCTCCTGTGGAGGTTTCTCCCTGTATTGGCTGTATTGATTTATGCTCAATTCCTTCTTCAAGATACAGAGGAAAGACTAAACCGGGACCACCTCTGCTGGCTTTTGCATAAAGCCCACATTTGCTCTTTTCTGTTTTATGTAGAACTGGCAGGAAGATGGAAATAAATACCCATAGAGAAGGAAAACCATCTGAAATGTCAACAAAAAATCTGACACTATTTATGGGAAAAAAATGTTTCAGGAGAATGAAAAAGAATTTTCAAAGCCCCACATACTTGGGTGGCTTTTATAAATTTCATTTTTTCCTCTATGCAGAAAATTCGATTGTCGCCTTCTAAATAGCTTTCTTGAGGGTAAGCAACCAGATTTTCCTCCCTCTCTCTATCACAGCTGTCCCCAGGGTAAGCTAGAGAGAGCAGTTTAGAAGTCCCTGTCTCCACCGTGTAACTTCAGCCTCCTTGCCAGCCTACAAAGCTCTCGCCAATTTTCCTGTTCTCTGCAATGAGAAAATAAAGTTGATGAGAGCAGTCTAGGCAGGGAGCACTCATTTTGATTTTCCTGAGAGGAAATGGACATTTTCTGGAAAAATAGCAATTTTCCTGTGGAAAATATTTCTGAAGGAAAATTTCTGATCATTGCTAGCTTTGTGCCAAGTCTTTTTCTTGTCTGAAGACCAGTATACTGAATTCTTCCTTACGCAGAACGTTGTTTTTAATGTGTCACAAACAATGATAAAGGTATTTAAAATTGCTTGAGGGGGAAATAATGTTGGGAAAAAAGTATGCGTTTCATTACTTTTTTTATCACTTTATTTCTGCCATAAGAAGAGATTGCACTGTTTTTCTTCTTATCTTAAAGGGATAATCTAAAGCAAACTGAAGGTAGTTTAATTTTCTCCTTTGCGCAGGGCAATATCTCAAATAGTAACTGTATGTCAATGCTCAACAGTATTTTCTGTTTGTTTTTAAAGATGATGAGCCAAGTGAATCTTAAGCAATATTTTCAACTTCCAGAGAAAGTTTCAGAGTTTTTCTTACTTGTGGACAGAAGCTTCCTTTTACTTTCATATATGTATTTTTTTACTATGGTAAAGTTATATTTGTGGTTTACTGCATCACTTACAATCATATTATACATTTCAGACTGTTTTATGTAATTCTTCATAGTTTTTTATGGTATCAAATCTCATGTTCAAGATTTCCTCTTTTTTATGGTAGCAGGTATTAGTCTCCTGGACTTCTCTAGTTTTGTTTTACACAAGTACATCGGATAATCTAATTCTCTATCTAGAGATTAAAATGGCATTTTCTGTGTTCTGGAACATTTCCTCCTACAAAATCCTACATTGTGGATTTTAAGTTCAGAGCTCAGCTTACTGACTATAAAGGGAAATATAAAAATATAAATTTAATAGTGTTTAAAGTATTCCAAAACAAAGGGTCAGTCAGAGTTAAGTTAAAAGAGCACAAAGCCTTCCTTAATGCAGCTTCCTATTGACACACTGGTGTACAAGAGAGAGAAGAAAAATAAAAGATGAATACTTACAAATTAGTTCAATCTGAAGTTGTACCTACTTAAATAATTGCCTTGTATTTCTGGAGTTAATAAATGGTGCCACTACAGAGTAGAAGTTACATCAGTGACCCATAATACTTGATCACTTTGTAAAGTAGTTTCATACATAGATAAAGAAAACTCAGTTTAGCTAAAACTTGAAAATTAACATGAAATGAGAAATAAATGTGCACATGCTAACATGTAAAATAATGGTTCTAAGAATATTGATGAAATAATAAATTTTTTTTTCATGCTTCCTTGGAACTGATTTACAGATCTGGGAATAGATCTGCACTAAACTGTCCAAAACTAAACTAGACAGCTGTTGAACTCCTCCTAGCCTGTGATTGTTTCGAGGTTACTTAAGTCAGTTAATAAGAATAATGTGAAAAGATAGGAAGAACACAGCTGTCAAATAGCAAGTCAAATATTCCTACATAAAGCTAAAGAAACAGTCGTTTTTTCCCAAGATAGTGGACACTCAATTGTAATTTCTGTTTTCTCATGTTGGGAGTTGATGTGCTTTTGTTTTTTGATGTCTTGGTTACATAGCCCACTCACCAACAGAAAAACATAGATGTTGAACCTGCAAAGTGGCCATGTAATAAAATATCTGTAAATTAGTAGATTTTGGAAGTAACTGTACGGATCTGCATCTCAGAATGGTATGAAGTGGGGAACATCTTAAAAGTGACAATGTGAAGCAGAAGAAGTAGCAAAATAGTTTTTGCGGCATATGTTTATATAGTAATTACATGTTTGCAGGGGATCATTTGTTAGTGATGCTTCAGTCTTATTAAAGATTGTTTGCTTTGCCAGTTGCAGGATGTAATCAGTATAGGGAGGTTATATACATTTTTTTGTTTCAGTTTAAGTTGTGTTTGTTTCCCCAGAGGCCTGACCATGATGGATTTACACTGTCTAAGGAGATGGCACATTTTGAGTTTCCTAATTTGATACTTTCATTCATATAGTAGCACTGCAAAAAACCCCCAGCCTTTTTGTCTTAATCTCTCAGCCTGTTTTGTAATCTGAGATAGTTGGGTCAGATACTAATATATGCCTTGGGCACCCTGATCTGTGACTCAGATGCAATCTTGCTGCCTTAAAAACAAACAGGTACAACATTTTCTCACAGTTCTGGTATCCTGTCCTAAAAGAGTCCGAATCACTGAGTTCCCATCTCGAAACTTTCACAGTATTCTTTTATTGCTGTCGAGGGTTTTAGTTTCAAATCCTTCTCCTCCTGATCAGCTTTCAATCTGATTTAGTATTTGCTGTTTTCCTGGGGATTATTTTAATGCTTGCTCCTGAGAGCTATTTAAAAATGAATTTTCTTGACGCTTGCTGCTTCTTCAGGCATCAAAACCTGGTGAATTTTCTTAATGTAAGCCTAAAAGCTTCTGACAAGGATAAGTGCAAGATCAGCTTTTCAGGCAGTTTTAATATGTGAGTGTGTGTATATGTTAAGTATAACACAGTACAGTGAAAGCTGGATGAATGCCCAACATTGAGCTCAGTTTCTATTATAAAAATAATTTGTTTATAAACTCACAATCCAATTCCATTTTCCTTTACCATGATGACAATTGAATGTAAATATTATTTTTCTTTGTGAACCTAGGGGCTAGTCAAAATGTGTATTGTGCTAGTAATTTCCTAACAGTGGAAGAAATAGATGTTTGGGCTATGAGTATTTCATGTAAACCTGTTTGTTTGTGAGGAATGCACAAAACCTTTTCTTTTTTTTCTGAAAACAGGAAGAAAAAGAAACCCGAGGAAATATTTACTTAGCTGATAGATTCAAGTGTGTTTTGAGTAAAAAAAGCTTTCCCTTATGCTTTTCCTTGGGCTGTCTTCTCATCTTGTTAAGGTTAATTTTCTGTTTCTGTTTCTTTTCTTCTTTTTCTATTTCTTTTTCTTCCTCCTGTCTACTCATACCTCTGCTGCAGTAACAGACTCAGAGAAATCTCTCTGCTGACTATGCCTCATATGTCTCTGCTCTCGTTTCAGGGTTCTGGTTCCATTAAGGAGCTTAATTATTTATTACATTTCTTCCTGAATACAAGCACACTACGATGCTAGGTTTAACCCAGCTCATATTATTATACCTGCTCTGCTGAGGTCACAGAAGTATAATGTTGCTCTTTTCAGGTTCTCTATAAACAAAAACATAATGCTGAGAAAGGAACTTCAGATTATGCACGTATGAAGGAGCCTCCAGATATTAAGCATGCCATGGAAGTCAATAAATACCAGAGTGGTGTAAGTACTCCTCCATCTGAAATTAGTTCACTTGTTTTGGGTAGATACATCTATTATAGCTAACTGAAATGAATTGGGCATGGAATATTTTAATATTTCATTAATTGGTATTTTTTTACATTATTTGCTCTGAAGTAATTTGGGACACGATGTGTGTTTAAAATATGCGATGAGTAATGGTATGTGACTTTTATTCTAAACTGCAGTGGAAAGCGGTTGTTATTTTTTATTAGTAGTAATTGTTATTAAGTGCTATCAGTTTGAAATAAAATTACAAAGACAGGCTCTCTGAATTCATGTGTACCTGCTTGAACTTTAAGAGTGTAAAAAGCTCTTTGTTTACATGAACACCAGCATGGTTTCAGTCAACGTTTGGGTAGTTCTTCAAGGGTTCTGTTTAGAGGAGAGAGTGGGGCTGTTTCTGCACTGCTCTTGCACACTTATGCACATGAATAACTTTGTTCCCATCTCATGAGTATGTATCAAATGAGTTCCAAAGAACAATTTATGACTTATTTTACAGAATCTGAGCCATAGAGTTCAATTTGATGCCTGGCACTAGCTTATGCCATTGACCACAGTATTTGTTCTTGTAGTTTTACTTAAACAATTTACAAGTAAATTAGAGTACTTAGCAATATTTTTAAGGTTGGGGTTGGTTGGTTTTTTTTTTTTTTTTTTTTACAGCTGCTTGTTAACTTCTTGAACTTCTTTAGGCTTTCACAATATAAAAAGCCTAATAATAGTATTTACATTTCTTATTAGTTTCAAGTCTGGTTTGATTTCATGGTTGAGCTAGCTTATACTAGCTCAATGCACCATTGCTAGGGGTGGAAATGCTACCAAGATTAGTGTCTTGAATTATATAAACACAACTTTGAAGAAAAATGTCTTAGCTTTTGTAAAAACTTACTTATGAGAAAAGTAAATTTTAGGAGAAGATTGGCTAAAATAGTGAGATCATTTTAAAGGGTACACAAAACCAGTAAAAGCAGCTGACATGTAGGTACCTTTAAAGTTATGATCCATTTCCATTCTTCTTAGGTAAGCAAGTCAAGTCAGGTAAGTACGTGATTTTATAACTCTCATTTCACAAATAAATGGGATATTTGTTTGCTGCTAACAATATAGAAAATGAAACTTGGGTGTTCATTTTGAATTGACTTAAATTTACCCTATCTTCCCTACTGGCAGTGTAACAAACACTCTTAAGTTATGTAGGCTGAAAGCTAAATGTCAATGTTAGATGTATGTCCATGTGTGCAGAATGTTGACAGCTGGCCGCTGATTAAAAGGCTGCTGGAGAACTTCAGGGAAGCATTATGTTTGAAGAATAACTTTTTCTTCTGCTGGGAAATACCTGCGTTGGAACTCCCAGCAGTAATTTGCAACCTGCCTTGATTACAGAATTCCCTCTTCCTGTCAAACTCTGTCTGTCTCTGCTGTTGGAAGCATCAGGATGTCAGATTGACGAAGGGTAGGAGCTGGGAACATGAACTTCTCTCCCCATAAGCAAGAGGGTTTTTTTTACCTAGCAGTAGGAATGATGGTGGGCTACAAGGGAAGGAAATAATGTTGGGAAGAGAGATGGGAATCCCTCTCAGAGAAGGTGGTGGGACCAGGAGGAATATGAGACGAGTTTTTGAATCAAATGCATCATGGTCTGAGGATTAGTATGCTAGTGCTAAACTCATTCCCCTTCTACAGCTGTACATCACCTGCTAACAGAATTAAGGAGAGCAGGGTACAGATGTGAGAGTAAATGAAATTCAGTTGTTTCATCTTTTTTCACCCTTAAAGCAAGGAAAAAAAAGGAAATGAAGGCAAACATAGGAGGGAAGGATGTTTTGATAAATGAGAACTTTTAACAGCATGTTAAAAATAATGAAAAAATATGAAGGAAATTATTTTCAGCCTGAGCAAACTTCAAAAAAATCAAACAAACCATAACATAAAACTCTAACCAGTTAGTTTCATCTGTTTAAGAACAGATTCCTTCTGGCTGCTCATGGGGAGCTGCAGTGCAATGGGGGTGTATCTTTATCACACATAAAGGAACAAGTTATGTAAGTCCAGTTATTGTTCAGCGGAGTTACACAGTTCCTGCGGGTAATTGTTTGGGCACCATGGTGAATAGCTGTGGATTTCTTGTTTTGTAAGTACAGGTTTAATTAAGAGCTGCATGAGTTTTCATCTTTGAGTCAGAGCGTGGAATAGCGAGCATCCCAAATGTGGAGCATTTGTCTTTCCGAACTATTTCAGGCTATTTGTAGAATCACAGCTTTGAAAGTACAAGGAAAAAGGAGGGAGACTACTGGGGGAATAGAAGGACAAAGCTCTTTTATCCACCAGTCAGTACAGTATACCTATGGGAGCAGAATGCGTGTTTACCTACAATGCTCTGCCAATTCAATTCAACCTTTACATGCAGGGTTTGCATCTAATAGGATTAGGATGTGTTTAAGACTATTTACTCAGCCTTAAAATAAGGCTGACATTTATACTCAACTCTGTGAAATGTGCAATTTCCTTTAAAAATTAAGACTGTATTCAACTTACAATACATTTGTGCTGACATTTTGAAACTGTCATGTGCTGTAGGCCTTCACACCATTTTGAATATCATTAACACGCTGTATAAGCGTGGGCTGAAGCTGCATAATAGGGAAATACTGTAAAATCTCCTGAACAATGTGATCATTTATAAAAACATTTTTCTCTTCTTCATGTTCAGACTGAAGAAAATTGCTCTCAAAAGAACAAAAGTGACTTTTTTTAATGATAGGGAATTTACTTGAAAAATAATTTAAATACTGCATAATACTTGAACGAACGCATGTTTATCCAAACCAGAGTACTTTTCTCTATAAATTATGCTTGTGTTTTGTGAGGTGAATGTTAGTGATGTGAATTTGGCACACAAAACGCTTTTGGAGAAAAGTGAAGTAGGGACCATCAGCCTAATTTATGCCTGTCATTTAGCTGATGTCATTTAGCTCACCTAGAAGTTTCCAAACTTGGGACCAAAATTAGGTGGTGGCCCTTAGAAAACGGTCAGGTGACAAAATAGCAGTTCGCCTTATGTGTAGCTGAGAATCAAGTGGATGGAAGAACGTAATTGAACAGTGAAATGACAACTGAGTTTCAAAAGCAAAGGAAACACTTGCCACATTGTGCCTGGGTAGAAGCTGCACATAGCATTTGATGAAGGTACTCAAAGCTGTAGATCACAGTTTTGTCTGTTCCATGACCTGTTCTATCACTGGGCATTAGAGTAGCAAAACAATGTTAAGTATTTGTACAGCAATTTATATGTTCTTCTTGGTTAAAATTATTGATTCTCCTCACAGCATTACACTGTATGAAATAAGGAGGTGGTGTTCTGATTTTAGAAATAAGAAAACTGCAATAGACTCATCTGTGGATTTTAAAGGCAGTTTGCAGATCATAGAATCATAGAATCA